GGCCTACTGGGTCTGCAGCGTCTACAGAAATAGGGTGAATGTTAGGGCTTTTGGCTGCGAATTTCAAGGTGGGCAAACCTAGTCTGGCTCCCTTGTCTGGCTCTCACCCAAGACATATCCCTGTTCCCAACAGAGAAGACTAGGCCCCCTCCCCTGCTCCCAGGAAAGGGGACACGCTGTCCTGAACAGCTGTCCAGTTCAGCCCTTGTCTGCCTGTCCTGTAGGGATCCAGTCTCTGCCCCTACCCCCTTCTCAGTAGGAGCAGGGACAGCGAGTGCTTAGGCACAGTTGTGCATATATACACATGTGAACTGGTTAAAGAAGGTATGGTCACTGCGTTGTGGACAGTTTCCATCTGGTCCTGGGCTGGGGCAGCTGACCCTGATTCCTGGCCTCTGCCCCTAGGAGACCTGCCAGTACCTCAAGGATTACCTGATGCAGCTGCTGATCCCCTACGTAGTCAACGTGTCCTCGGCTGCCCAGTATTGCAGCCGGGCCCAGTGCCATGGCCACGGGCGCTGCGTGCGCCGAGACCCCAGCACCAATACCTTTCTGCACCTCAGTGCCAGCAGCTTCCGCCTAGTGCCTAACCACAAACCTGGTGAGCCCCCGCTGCGACCAGAGGGGGAGCTCAGCTGGGCCGACCTCGACTATCTGAAGAAGCACTTTCAGTGCCAATGCTACTTAGGCTGGGGTGGCGAACAGTGCCAATGGGACCGTCAGCGGTCAGCTAGGGGTGCCAGTGAGGCCTGGGCTGGGTCCCATCTCACTGGCCTGCTGGCTGTGGCAGCCCTAGCCCTCACCTGGACTTTGTAGGGATCTTTCACCTGGCTTCCAGGCAAGCTGGCCTCTGCCACAAGAGCTCTGCCAGGCATGTAGGAGCCTGCAAGGGGTGGACGAATGAGTCCAGAGGGAAAAGAGCCCCTGGGATGCCCAGTAGGGCATCCATAGCAGCTCTCACCCCCCTGTTCTAAGGGGGAAGGGCAGTCTCCTGGGAGAGCCTTTCTCTCCCTGCCAGAGAAGAAGAGGGGCATGGCCGGGGAGGACCTGACCCTACTCCCTGCCCCTGGATAGTTTATTATTATTATTTTGGGGTCTCTTTTGTAAATTAAATATAAAACAACTGCTTTTGTGCTTGGACTGTATACCTGGGCCTGGGCACATGAGAGTGATTCCGGAGTCTTCCATGCGGTTTGACCCAGCTCTTTCCCTATGAAACTCTCTGCTAGGGACTTCTTGTCTGTAATGGCTCACTGGGACCCCGGGGCCTGGAGCTGCCCGCTCTGCAGCTGTCCTGTTGGGGCGGGGCCACTGGGAGTGGAGGACTCACACGCTACCCCAGTGCCAAGGGCCTTGCTTTCTCCATATTGATTGGAATGCAGCGGAGCCCAACCTTCTGTGAGAGACGGGACTCACTGTGCTTCTCCTGCCGGCTCCGGTATCCCCAGCTGGGCCAGTGCCAGCTGCCTCGCCTTGCCCACCCAGGGAGAAAGGGGGAAGTGGATGTTTGATCTTCCCTGGCTGGGCAAGTAACCAGACCACCTCTCCCTGCTGTTCCCACAGGCCAGGGCGTCTCCTCCACTCCCAGCTCCCAAGGGCAATGGACTCCAGCCACACACACCTCTCCCCCTCTGGGTCACAGTCTTCCACTGGGCATGGCCGCAGGAGGCAAGCAAGGGATTGGGGTCTGAAATCTGAAGTCCAGTCCCTCTCCCACTGCAGATGCATGAGGGGCGAGGGAGAGGTACCCAGAGTCTGGGAGCAGAGACATCCTCAAAGGTCAGCCCTGTTCTGCTCATGGGAGAATATGCTGGTCTCTAGCTGTCCCAGAAGAGAGAAGGAGCCGAAGGAACAGTCAGACCAGCTCCACCCAGCTTCACTGCCCTGCTCCTGAAGGGAGTTACCTAGGTGGTTCTCTGCCATCCCACCCACACCTGGGTGCCCCTGTCCTAGTCAGAGATGACTCAGCCCAACCCTGAGGACACACTTGCTCTGGGGAGACAGGTTCTAGAAACAAACCAATGGTGAGGACAGACCAGGGGAGGTGTTCTGGAGGAATTTCTATTGTGAGTTTCGAGAGGTGGGGGGGAAGCTTGATGCTAGGAACAAAGCAGGGAAAGGCTGGAGGAAGCTGAACTCAGCTGGGATACCAGCATGAGGGGGGGTGTGGCCGCCTGTATCAGGCAGGGGCAGGAGGGGCAAGCAACCCTGACTGCCAGGGTGGTGGCTGTCTCAGCTGTTCAACAGACAGCGCACACACCTGCGGTGCTGGGCTGGCTGCTAGGGATGTATCTGTGAGCCACGCCACAAAGACCCCTCCCTACACTCTCCCTGTGGGGCTAACAGTGTAGAGGGAGGTGCACACTGGATGTGAAGACCGAGTCAGGTGCTGGATGGTGGACAGTGCTCCCCAGAGAAGCATGGGGTGAGGGGTGGCATGGTTGGGGGAGCAGAGCCTGCCAAAGCAAGTCCTGCGGAAGCAGTGTCCGCTCAGGCTGTAAAGCCATCCCTGGTCCCTCTGGCTGGCGATGGCAGAGAATGGAGAGAAGGCTGGTGGTAGCACTAAGGCAATGTCACCAGGTGGAGGAGGAGACCGAGGTGGAAGGGTCCCCAGTGCTCCTGGCTGTGGTGGGGAGGGGCCTGCTAGAGAGAAGATTCAGGTGTTGGTCAATAGACCATGAGATGATGGAGCCAGCGGAGGGAGGGCAGCTGTGACCCACACACACACCTGTGAGCTCTCCCACTCACATCTGTAACCTCCCAACACGCAGGTGATCGAGGCACACCTGGCTGGGACCTTTCCCGCCTAGCTATGACATCTACATACACATAACCCTCTGTGTGCAAAGCTTTGATCCCCCACGTGTGTGACCTCCCCTACACAGCTCTGACCCCTCCATACGAATCTGTGAGCATCTCACATCACCTCCCTAGGGGGACCTGGAAGACAGCCTTGGAGAAAGTGCAACTCTGGAGACCCCGAGAGCTGTCCTTTAGGTGGCTGGGAGGGGGGGATGGGGAGTACGGTGACTTGGGGCCTGAGTACGCCCAACCAGAGGGCAGGCAGGACTGGACGGAAAAGCTGGACAGACCTGTCAACAGAGCTTAAAAAGTACATTCTTGAGAAGAATCAGTTCTGTATTCTTAGCCTCTGGGTTGGTCTGAGATAGTTCTCAATCAGATGTGTGGCCTGGACAATGGACACCAAGGGGTCAGGTCATGTCTGGTGTTCTAGATGTGTGAGTCCTTCAGGGGGCAATCAGAGGGTTGTCTGGAGGCCTGAGGTATGTGCAGGCATTGATGCAGGACTGAGAAAGGTCAAAGCTAAGTTCCCAGGCCAGTTAGAACAGAACAGAATCTTTCCTCATGCCTCAGCCTCCTTGGTTGTAGTATTTTAACAGCCTGACTAGAGTGACTCCATTTTATTTCTTCACTCTATTGCTCAGACCCCAGACACAGACCACTTGGACCAATCCAACCAGACCAACCCCGCAGAAGCTAGCTTGTGGGTGAGGCCCTGGGGTCTGGGAGGGTGTCAGGTGCCCCAGCTGCTTCCTGCTGTTCCACCATTAGGACTTCTCCCTTGGACTGAGGCCAGCTAGAGAATGCTGGCCTGCTGGTTGGCTGGATTGTGCCAATCACAGCACTAGGTCTCTGGGGGCACCAGGACGTAGCAAGGGGCCTTGGGGGG